CAATATGTGTGGGGTGAACCTAGCCAGGAATGGAACCTAGTCTTTCCCTACGTGTTGTGAAATGTGTTATCTATTGTCCCTCTGGCACACACCCTGTAGAGTAAGTTGTTAAGTGCTGTCTTGTTGGTTCCCACTCATAGTGACCCTGTATAGTGTTCCCAAGGAGTGGCTGGTGAATTTGAACTGCTGACTTTGTGGTTCAAACTGGCATTACTTTATCCCACAGTGCCACATAATACAAAATAATTACTTCCATATTAAGAAACAAATAAAGCACTGTTGGAGGAAGGGTAATTGAAACTATGGTAGAGAAAATAGTATGTGAGCAAAGACTTGAAATCTGTGACGAAATTAGCTTTTTAAATATCTGAGGGAAGAATTTGCCAGGCATAGGAAATAACTAATGCAAAGGCTCTGAGGTAAAAATGTGCCTGGAGTGTTCAAGGCAAGGACATTTCAGGATGCACTGAACTGTTAAGAATCATGTCTACAATGTGAAATGCAATATATCACATATAGTGAAGCCATAAATATTTTTCTTAATAAATGTGTAAATGCAAACAGTAGTTAGTTTGGATGACATGCTTTGCTTTCTTTTTGTTGTGTCTCCTTTCTCATATTTGGCCCCAAAGTGCTAAGTAATACACATTTAGTGAGGAAAGCACTAGGGTGGCAGAACTGTTTCTCCATTGAATATATATATCCCCTATTTCTAATAAACCATTGGCAACAGTTGTAGAGAATTCTCCTCCTTCTCAGTCATCTTCCTTATCAGCCACCCTGGTCGTCTTTTTGTCCCTTTAACCAACAAAGTTCCTTCCTTTGAGGGGTCTTGATATTGGTTCTTCCACTAACTCGGGACCTCATAATTTTCAGGTGACTGGCTACCTCTTATTTAGTTCTCCTCTTTATTGTTGCCACTCTACGGCGTTCTGGTGTGGTGCTACAGGATAATGCGCTGGACTGTAGGGTAAGTTTGAACTACAATTTTGGTGGTTCAAGCTCACTAGCTACTCCTCGGAAACTCTATGCAGGGTTGCTGTGAGTTGGAACCAACTCAACGACATTAACAACAACAACAACCCTAGTGTAAGTGGTTTCCCCCACCTCAATTACTCTGCCTCATTATGCTGATTTCTGTTTTTATAGCTCTGTCTGTATATGAAATTATCCTGTTTATTTTGTGTTTCCTTGTCAGTCCCCCAATAAAAATGTAAGATAATGAAAGCAAAAACTTTCTCATGGTTGCTGCGGTGGGTTAGCACTGCTTCTGTGGCATCACAACAAAGTCCTTAAAAGATGTGTTCATTGTAGGAAGGCTACAAAAGATAAAATTTCTGGAGTATTTAATATATGCTATCAGACAATGGCACTTAACAACAACAATCAAGTGTAAGTACTTGGTACTGTTCACTGTATTCCCTATTTGAAGCATCTCACTAACAACAATAGTCTCTGTTTTACAGTCTGAGATGGAACAATTTATCCAGCATTACTCAGTTCATTGAGTCTCTTTCTGTCTTTACAATCCTCTGCTTAATGATTGCTCCAGATAGCCATTAAGAAAGCTCTGTGGCAGCACCCATTGCCTACATTTCAGCACATTAGAAGATGTGAATTTTAGTGCCTACATTAGAGACCTGGTGTGGCGCTGTGGGTTCATGCGCCAGACTGCAAAGTCGTTTGAACTGCAAGGTTGGCGGTTCAAGCTCACCAGCTGCTCCTCGGAAACCCAATACAGGGTCGCTATGGGTTGGAGTCAACTCTACGGCACTTAACAACAACATTAGAAGATATGAGAGGTTGGCCACGGGCAGGGCCTTGGAGTTAATTCTGACTCAGTGACCCTATGCACAACAGAATGAAATGTTGCTCATCCTGGGCTGTCCTCACAATTGTTCATTTTGAACCCATCACTGCTGCCACTGTGTGAGTCTGTTTTTATGGAGATCTTCCTCCTTTTTGCTGAGTCTCCACTTTACCAAGCATAATGTCCTCCTCCAAGGACTGGACCATTTTGATACGTCCAAGGAGCTCTAGTAGCGTAGTGGTTATGAATCTGGCTGCGAACCTCAAGGTCAGCAGTTCAAAACTACCAGCTGTTCCGCGGGAGAAAGATGAGGCTTTCTGCTCCCATAAAGATTTACAGCCTTGGAAACCCTGTGCAGGGTAAGTCGGAACCGACTCCACGGCACGTAACCACCAAAGTACATAAGATGACGTCCTGTTATCTTCATTTGTAAGGAGCCTTATTGAATGATGCAGAAAGCATCAAAACAAGATGGAAGGAATACACAAGTCACTCTACCAAAAAGAAATTTTCTATGTTTAGCCATTTCAAGAGGTAGCATATGCTCAAAAGCCAGTGATACTGAAGGGAGAAGGCCAAAGTATGTTGAAGGCATTAGAATAGAACAGGCACTAGGAATTTATGGGGTAAAAATGGAAATTTTTCGACAAAGTGATGCAGCATTGAAGGCACTCGCTCACCTATGCCAGGAAATTTGTAAGACAGCTACCTGGCCAACCAATTTGAAGAGATCCATATTTGTGCCCATGCCAAAGAGAGGTGACCCAATGGAATGTGGAAATCATTGTACAATATTACTATATCACATGCAAGTAAAATTTGGCTAAAGATAATACAAAAACATCTGCAACCATATATGACAGAACTTATCTAACAGCACTACACCAGAACTCCAACATTAGCCAACATTTTTCAACACTAAAAAAAAATCCCTTCATCTACACACATGCCTGGTGTGACTCTTTAGGATAAGCACTGGACTGCTTAACTGCAAGGTTGGTGCTTCAGATCCACCAGTTGCTTCTTGGAAACATTATACAGGGTCACTGTGAGTCAAAGTTGACTCAGTGGTACTTAACAGCAACAATTGGATTGTTAAGGGTAGGAGTTGAAATCTGTAATGTAAACCAAAAACCAAACCTACCACCATCGAAAAAATTACAACTCATAGTGAACCTATAAGACACTGTAGAACTGCTCTGTAGGGTTTACGGAATTCTTTATAAAATTCTTTTAAATTGCGAAGGGAGCAGACAACTTCATCTGTCTCTCAAGGAACAGCTGGTGGGTCTGAACCACCAACCTTGCTTTTAGCAGCTTTCTGATAAACTCGTGTCCCCAGAAATACTGTTGTTGTTAAGCACTGTCAACTCGATTTCCAAGGAGCAGCCTGTGAGTTTGAACTGTTGATCTTTTGGTTAGCTGTCAAGTCTTTACCCTATAGCACCAAACCAGAATGCTGTACGGTTATGTTGTTGTTGTTAAGTTCTGTCGAGTCAGTTCTGACTCAATGACCCAGTATCGAGATTCTTAGTTGGCTCAAACCAACCTTGTGGTCCAGTGCATTATCCCACAGCGCCATTGGTAATTGTACAGGCTTGATTGCTTTGTGTTGTCATACATAGTGGACAAAATTGCAATTTAAAGGGCTATGTTGTCTCATTTCGTTCTGTTACTGGATTAATAGGTTAATGTCTATGAAGTTTTTTGAGTTGTAACACAAGGCTAGAGGGATTTATGCAAGTATGTATACGCCTTGAATAATGAAAAGAGTAAATGTCTTAAATATTGCATAGCATACATGCTCTCACTAAATAAATTAATGAAAGTGGACTAAAGGTGAGGAGGAGGACAGTCCTATTCATCTTTGTATCTCCTGTCTTGAGCCAGTCCCTGGCACTGCATAAATGTTCAATAAATGTAACAATTGGCAGGATGATGTCTTGTGTTATCATTAGCAACAGTATCATTTGTAATAGATTTCCCAAGCCATTTACTTTCCCCTGTGATTTCAAATTTCATCTCAATATGCCGGCTCTCATTTCAGTGGTATTTAATTTTTCACGTCTGTAATTATTTGATTTGCTGAATTTCATGATCAACAAGTTGGTCATAGAGCTAATACCCTTTACAAATAAAGTAACATTGTTTTTGACAGCCAGGGGATATAGAATCAGTACAATATTTCAGGAGCTTCTGACAACTATTGGTCGAAGAACATTAATCAAGTAACTGATATGCTGTAAAATTGACAGAAATTACACAGAAACCAGGAATAAAGAGGTTTGAGGCTGTCTACAGTCAGCCTTTTAACCTTTGAGGAGTTTCAGTATTCCTGCGACTGTGAATTTAATGGCTCTTCAGTTTCATGTGCTCAAGCTCTTTTTTTATTACAGGTAATTTTCTGCATAAAACGATCAGTTAGATAAGCTATATTTCAAAACTTTGAAATGCCGTTTATTACGTTATCATCACCGTGGTTGATTCACTTATGAAACACAAAGCGCTCCCATTTGCAGCGATTGACTTGCGTATCAATTTTTTCCTGGGTTTGCTGGAATGCTGTCATGTTCGTGTTCTGAAGGTTAATGCCCAAAGTCAAGCAGACAGAAGCCAAGTGCTGCAAGGTTTCCAAGATTAGGACTGATTCCCCTCACAGAAATAAATGATTCCTGCCATGTTCAGTGATTTTGTGCAGTGCTCCCCATGGCTGAGTGAGTGCATCAATACTGTAGTCCTTACATGCTGTACATACTGATGACACTCGGTGTTAACTTGATTGACTGAGCCGTGCACTGGAGAGGACGCACCTGCGAGAGACGTGCAGACACATATATTTTTATCCTGGTTTCGAAACATTTATTTTACATTTATTTTACTTGGGAGTCATAGTTTCATATTCCCTGGTCTCTCAAGCCACACAGCTAAGGTAGAACCGCCCGTTAAGTGCTGCTTTGTTGTCAGAATTGTGCTGAAAATGGTCTCAGGTTTATACCCTCTGCTAAAACCTGATTTTATGCTTTTGAGGGAAAATGACACGAAGGTGACTATTCAGAATCCTAACAATTAGTGGCTCTGTGGAATTGTTGAAGTCTCTTAGAGGTTCTTTGTACAGCTGGGCAAGTGGATTGTTTCATGCAATTATAAGAAATTATTTTGGTGACATATATTTTGTTATCATGTTTTGTAGGCTTTGAGGCAACAGCAGAAGAGAAGAAATGGAGTCTCAATGATGGTAAACAAGACTGTTCCTCGTGTTGTTTTGACACCATTAAAGGTGTCTGATGAACAGTCGGATTCGCCTTCAGGTAAAAAGCTAAAATACTGTATGCTTGGCCAGTTTCTTCGCTGAGGAGGTTTCCTCACTGAGAGAGATGTCATGTTTTGTTTTGTTTATTTTTTCCTACCATTTTTTTCTTTTCTTGAACTGAATACTCTTTCATTTGAGGTTTGGCTTAATTTTTTTTAATCCTTTGATTGTTTCAGGAATCAATATACAGACTATTCCCCTCTTTAAAAAATAATCCTAATAATAAGGCACCAGTCCACTTACCACCAGATGACTTGATTTGCTAATGTTAATAGGTCTAAGAAAATGTGTAATAATGCAAGGTGAATTTGTTGTTGTTGCTTCTGCTTTTGTTTGAATATTGAACTTTAATGGTAGACCACATGCTGATATGTAATTCCATCAAAAGCAGTTGTGCTGGGAGTGAGTGTGAATGTGTTTGCCAGTACTCTGCTGCAAAATCAGAAATTCTTTATTAGTTTTTGTGTTCTGGCTGTGTTCTCACCTCAGTGCAACCCTGACCTTTTCACCTAATTTACCTTCTGTCACTTTATCAGCTCTGTTTACTGTAGATTGCTGTTTGCATTTGCTGTTCAGGCTTCTACTTAAAGTTGTTGATAAAGATATGATCTCTCACTCTCCTGACCCTTCCCTTCTTGGCCTTGTTCTCCCTCTGCCTTGCAGTGTCTCTATGTGGAATTGTCCTGTTAAGGCAGATTCGTGTTTTTTAACAATCTATTCTGTCTTATAAAAGCTATAAGATCTAGGAACGTATTTTTTACTCCACTGTTAAGGCCATCTGTTCTTGCTTTTTGTTCTGTTTGATTGATTTATTGGTCTCTTCTCTTTACACCTAATAGGGGAATCAGATTGCAGCCAAAGGGAGGCATATTAACTCTTAAAAAAAGATTATATCTGCCATTTTTACAACAAGTTTAGAGGTTTTGTTGTTTTTTTCCCCTTTTTTCAAGGAGATACTAACATATTAACTATTTCCTTTTTTTAGGATCTGAGTCTAAAAATGGTGAAGCAGACAGTTCAGATAAAGAAATGAAACATGGGCAAAAATCTCCTACTGGAAAACAAACAAGTCAGCACTTAAAACGATTAAAAAAGTCTGGTTTAGGTAAGTGTTCAATAGAGTGCCATTTTTTGTTTCTGAGATTTATATTTTTTTAAATGAAAATATTCAGAAGTTTTTGTTTTTGCTTTAATGGCTAAACAAGGAAATAAAATTCTTTCTAATTTATCTAAAATTAGTAAGGATGGTAAATAAATGCAAATTACAGTTGTATGATCTTGAACTTATTACTAAATTTATGAATGATGTTTTAGATATTTTAAATGTTATAAATATTCAAATGTATGCTAAGTTATTACTATTAATGTGCAAGGTTTTGTCTCTTCAACTGAATTTTGCTTTGTTGGAATATGTTCTATTGGGGGTACATTGAATTGGAAGGTTTATAAGGGGACTTCAAAAAGTTCATGGGAAAATGGAATTAAAAGACGATGGATGGAATTTTTCCATAAAATTTCGGAAGTCCCCTCATATTTTGATTAGGTTCACTTGCAGTAAAAGTGCTTTGCCTTGCTTTTGGTCTTTGGTGCTTAAAATATACAGAGGTGCCTGTGTAAAGAATACTATAAAATTGCTGAGAAGTGTGGAAGACACAGCCCATGAATTCACACACATCAGCACTGGGTTTCCTTTGAAGTCTTCCTTCCTGCTAACTTTTCATGTGGAACCCAACAGCAGTGTTTAGAGGAAAAGGAGCTTGTGAATTAAAAAAGGGAAAAACATATATTCTAATCTCAACATTATAATTTTAGACCGTATCTGCATTGTTAAACTACCTAAATCTAATGGCTTAATTTCTCTTTCTTATTTTTTTCACCTGTCAGTAGGGGTAATGATTATGAAGTGGCTCATTATAACATTTTGTAAAATGATCTGTAGAAACTACAAGTTTATTGACTGAACTTTGTTACTGGTTTTGCCATTTACTTTCTTGGTACAGTAGGATAAATCCTATTTGCTGAGTTAATCTGTTTAAAAACCAAGCAAAGTTTTTATCCATTATTTTTTTTCCAAAGAGATTTATTGATTCTCCTTTCACGTACTATAGATTTGCTAAAAACAGAGACTATAACTTTTAATAAAAAAGACTTTATATAGGATTTTTAAACACTAAAATAAAGGTCTTGGGAAGCAAAATTCATTTTTGTTTTAAATTCTTTAACTATAGCACAATTTCCTGTTTTACATTCTTCCCAACTTCAAATAATATTATAGTTACTGTCTAGCCCAAAAAGCACTCATGTATAACTGCAGTTATATATGCACTGATGTGTAACACTGATTTGTCAATGTTCTTTGAGTAGTTTCTATAATGGAAAACTACAAAAGTATAGTTATATGTAAAGAATGTACTTTAAAAAAAGCTTCAAAACAAAATGAACAGCAACAGTAAAAACTTGTTACATGATAACATTCTTAAAATAATTTAAGGGCCCTGGTATGGTGCTGGATTATAAGCATCCGGCTGCCAACTACAGGGTTGGCAGTTCAAACTCAACCAGCTGCTTTTAGAAATCCTAAT